TTGTGGCAGGTGCCTGTAGTCCCAGCTACTTGGGAGGCTGGGGTAAGAGAATCGCTTGAGCCCAGGAGTTGGAGGTTGCTGTGAGCTATGATGCCACGGCACGCTACCCAGGGTGACAGCTTCAGGCTCTGTCTCCAAAAAAATAAAAAATAAAAATAAAATAAAAATTTAAAAAAAGTAGAGGATAGACAGTAAATAATCATTATAGATCCCTAGGGTACAGTGGAGAATTATGGTATTTACATTCTGCAGAGCTAGAAAACATTCAGACTTATTCAAGGCACAGGGAATTCTTAGAAATAAGGGTAAAAATCCTTTTAGGAAGCATTCATAATCGCAAGGATTAGTTTATATTTTGACCCACTGATACTTAACTAATGATGTATGCATCTCTTAGTATATATACAATGATGGCTTATAAGAGAGTGGTTATTATTGCTGCTAATAAACGTATGCTTTGCCCCTTTAAAAAAACCTTTTTTTCATCTGAATATTTGGAGGGTCTGAAGACCATGCCACGTTTTTCTTTTCCTGCTTTGAAGAAGAATTTCAAATAAAAAATTGATATGATAGGAAATGTTAGTGCTATGACTGCTAAAATTCCCACAGGCAAGGTTATTTAACACAGTTTTTTAAAAGTTTACATAAGAAGCTATTTTTACTACATGAATAATTAATGTTCATTTCAGTTAGATTAAATATATGAGGATTTATTTTATTTTATTATTTAAAGTAAATTGTTAGTTTGTATCTATTAGCTCTATTTTAAACTGATGCTTCAGCAATAAATATAATTATACTTTTGATCTACTAATCTTAATCTAGTAATATATACAGTAAGTAAATAATCCAACCCAATATTACTTAAAGTACCAAAAATTAGAAACAATTAAATATGGCCAGCAATAGGAATGATTAAGTAAATTCAGATTATAATGTGAAATAAAAAGGATGATTTTGTAAATTTGGGGCAATACAGAAAAATGCCTATAATTGGAAACCTACTGTAGGTCTAACTGTACACTCTGTAGAGCAGAGTAGCTGCAGCTTTCACACCTTGCTGATAGGAATCGTATAGCCACTTTAGGAAACAATTTGGCACTTTCTTGTAAAGTTAGATCAGCAATCCTACTCTTAGGTATAATATTTATGTTAAATGAGAATCCATGTTCATATAAAAAACTATATGCAAATATCTATAGCAGCTTTATTCACATTTCAAAAAAACTAGAAACAGCTCAAATATTTCTCAAATGAGGAATGAATAACCAAACTGTAGTATGTTCCATACAATGGTATTCTACTCAGCAATGAAAAACATGAACTGTTGATGGTCATCCAGCAACATAGATCTCTTCAAATGCATTAAAGCTGTGTACTATAATATAATAACATTTATATAC